AAACGTACATCGGGAAAAGAATCATGCAGGAGGATCATGCTTCAATGCCATGGTCACTCGACCCGTCACACGCAAGGAGATGGTCAACAACCCCAAGGCCATGGAAGCTTTCATGAAAGAATGGAAGGGATTGTGGGACCAAGAGGTGTTTGATTTCTCAACTACGCGTGAGTATGACGACGTCGTCGCTGAGGCAAAGAAGAAAGGTGAGAAAGTACATATGGCGCGAGTACATGGACTGATATACGAGAAGAACTATCAGCTCAAAGAGGACGATCCTGCCAGGAAGTTCAAAGGGCGAGGTGTACTACTCGGTGATCAGGTCAAAGACCAGAACATGGAAGCCGCATTGTTTCAGGATTTGGGGAATTCCCCGGCTACGTTTGACGCCTCACGGTGGGCAGATTATTACGGATGCCTTCCTGGCAACGATGTCCAGATGGCGGATGCTATCCAAGCATACATTCAGGCGAGACTATCGGGCACTCCATGTTGGGTTGAACTGCCTGATGAAGCCTGGCATCCATCTGCGAAAAGGCATAAATTCCGTAGACCTGTGTGTCGCCTGATCAAAGCCCTATATGGACATCCTGATGCAGGAACCATGTGGGAACAACATTGCCATACCGCGGTACAGAAAGTAGGATTCAAGCCGATTGGCGACGAATGGCCATCATTGTATTTCCACCCGCAGATGAAGCTCTTACTTGTCATCTACGTGGATGATCTCAAGATGGCAGGGCCCAAAGAGAACCTGCCCAAGGGTTGGGACATGCTGCGCCAAGAACTTCGATTGGAAGAAGAAACGCCACTAGGTTTGTATCTGGGTTGTCGCATCTCCAAGGGCGAGGCAACGTTGCATGACAAAACGAAGGTGCAGACCGTTACCTACGACATGGAGACGTACCTGGACATGACAGTCAAGAAGTACTGCGACGTGACTGGGTTCGATCCGACAAAATTCAAGACGGTACCATCGCCGAGTCCGGCTGAGGAGACTAAGAATCACCCAGCTCGCGCTCCGGCACAGTCAGGTAAAAGCCATCGATGCACGTGGTGTGGACACACCATGCCTGTTGATAAGGATGGTCGGCTTGTTCCGCCTCCACCTATTCCCAAGGCGCCAGAGGAAGAGGAGATCAACGAGGCTAATCGCGGTGCACTTGCTCCGCAGGCAGCAAGCATTCTCATGAAATTGCTTTATGCCGCGCGCATTTGCCGCTTTGATCTTCTGCGCAGTATCAACAATCTCGCGCGCAAGATCACGAAATGGACCAAGAAGGAGGATGCTCTTCTTCATCATCTCATGGCCTATGTGCACCAGTCCAAACATCACATGATGATTGGATGGGTCGGGAACTCCTTGGAGGACTCGTCCATCGGGCTGTTTGCAGATGCGGACTATGCAGGTTGTGGAGAAAGTTTGAAATCTACCTCCGGTGCTCACTTGCACATTCAAGGTTCTCACACAAGATTTCCCTTGGCGGGACTTAGCAAAAGGCAGGGGTGCTTGAGTCATTCCACACCTGAGGCCGAGATTGTCGCGGCCGACTTTGCCATGTCACGTCTTGGATTGCCTGCTATCACGTTGTGGCAGCAGCTTGGGGGGCAAGACCCCAACTTCGTCTTCTACGACGACAACCAGACCATGATCGGGGTGATTCGCACGGGCAAGAATCCGACTATGCGTCACTTGGAACGTACCCACGGCATCTGCATTGGATGGATGCATTCTATCTTTCAGGAAGGTTACGTTTCTCTTGCCTATGAGGTCACTGCCAAGATGTCAGCGGACATACACACCAAGTCGTTCAAGGATTCCGTGTCCTGGACACATGCGTGTCAGCTCATCAACATCTTTCCGCCGGCTCTCATCGGCTCCCAAGAGATTATGGATCTGATGCGGCCTACTCATACCCAAAGCACGGATGAGAAGGGTCAGCAGCACTACTCGTTCAAGAGCGAGGTGCCTTGTTTTCCTTACACGCAGACGCAGATCCTCCCTCAGGTGTTGTATCGCGCTGGATTGTCGAGTAAGGAAGGCTTGCAAGAACATGACAGTGTGGACCCAATCCTGGTTGTCAAGTTCCCGCGCATGTTGCGGGGGCCGCCTTCTGCGTTGCCGCCTGGTCGTTACCTTCGGTCGACTTGGATTCTTCGTGAAGGGCAGTGGCACCAGATGGAGGACCGTGCTGCTATCCTTGATCCACCGGGCAAGTTCGACCGCTATGTGGAGCGTGCTGTGTTTCAGTACCATCCGGTACGGGGGCATTTGCGCCCCGCCGCCATTGCGGACGTCCTTGCGCCGCCGTTTTTGACTCCTCCTGAACCGCCTCTAGGCCAGTCTTATGTGCGCGCCCTGCCCGCCAAATGGCGAGCGGTGGTTGTCACACTGGCGCGTGCCATCCATGGGGGGTACCAGGGCTTTACATTGCCTCTTTGTTTCAACGGCCAGTCCAAAAGCCAAGCCTCTCAATTCGGTTATGACCACTGGTCGTCAGTGTACGAGGACGTATGGCATGATGCGGCTGAACAGAAAAGGGAATATCAAGGATATGATGGAGCAATTGTGCCTCACGTGGTCAATTTCGCCGAAAACAAACCCAAGGAGGGCCTGGTGATCCAATTTCTCGACCACGATGGAGGGTTGGTCCATACTTACAAGAATCCTTACAGCCGGTGGAAATACCGTATCACTATCAAAGATGCTCCAAAGGCAGTGACGGTGTGGACATTGGTAGGAGTCGATGAGGAGAACTGGTGGAATGAGTATGCTCCAGGCAAGGATTGCATTGCGCAGCATGCTCCCGATTCTCACTACGACCCTGGGTTGCAAGTGAATGTTCTGAGTATGGGGCGAGAAGTTGACGACGCCATGTGTGCCTACCTCTTCGATGTGGTGGAAGCAAGGAAAAACAACCCTAACTCCGTGATTTTCATTGGCGCAGGGGTGTTGGGCAAGAATTCGTGGCTGAGTCGGAAAATCGCTGACAACCATGAAAGGGCCAAATTGCGGACAGACTACCCATGGGGGGAGGTCGTCCAAAGAATTGCGCGCAGAGCGGCATCATGGGGGTTCCAAATCATCATCGAAGTGCCTCCTCGAGTACCAGTCCAGGAAACCAAGCAGTACAAGGGACTTCAGGAAGATGCCATGTGGAAGAGCATCAAGATCAAAGGATGCACTCACGGGCAACGTTATACCTTTCGGGATCCTGTATCTCCCGGAACCGCCGTTGAGCTCGGCTACTGCAAGGATGAATGGGAGTACATTGCCGCAAACGTCGCGTTGCATCCTAAGTCGTCTGACGTGTGCTCGTCCAAACATTTGCACATGACCGATGCGGACGCTAAGGATCGATCTGATAAATGCGAGTTGACTAGCCAAATCTCCAGGAGATTGCTTAAAGCCTTGAAATTTCAGGCAACGGGCGATGGGAGAGTGGTAGCAATGCCGTCGAAGGCTGGTGGACGAAAGCCTGACCGCATGATTGTTGACCTCTGTGGCTTGGGCAATGGCTACGCCGTGCCTAAGTCCACTAAGGGATGCGCTCGCATAACTTGCAAGGAGCTGATTGGCTCTAAGGCCGATGAGGACAGCCTTATCGGTGCAATGAAGGATGCGTGCCGGAATGACCTGCGCACACCTGTGCGATTCGTGGCATCGCTTTTGCGATCAGGTGCTAGTCCTGGAAGTAGTGAAGGGGCTTGCGTGGGGGGTGAGAAACGTTCCGGTGGGAAGTACAAGGTTTTCAGAAGTGTCTTGAAATCTCTCAAACGCCTGCTGAAGAAGTGTGCGGAATTTTCCGACGTCTATTTTTCGCCTGACATGCCTTCTTCATGTTCATGTTGGTCTTGGCCAGAGTTGCATGCTCTTGTTTCAAGTGGCAAGGTGACGAAGGTTAAGATTGATGACCATGTTGGTGCTGGTGGCGATGGTGGTGGACGCAGGATCATGTTCTCTAACATGCCTGAAGCGGATCGTTTGATGGTGAGAGTGGATGATTGCTTGGACCATGAATCGAAGAGCAGTTTGTCGCAGCGCATTGATGTGTCATGGCGGTCGATTGCGAGGAATGTTCGCAGCCTTGTTCGAGCTCATGTCAGTGTCAGTCATGATGCACATGAATCTGAGGACATTGCATGGCAGCAACGTCAGTGTACAGACGCTGATGAAGGGGCTATAACACAGCCCCAACTAAGGAACAACTAAGGTCTGACCCGACGGATCGGGGAAGGGTGCCTCTTACAGAGCACCCGGAACCGTGAAGTCGAGTAGGGTGTAGGTACTTCTCTCCTACGGAGGAAGGACCGAATCCCGAGCCATGGGTGAAAGCTACAATGCCTACGAGCTGGCCTTCGAAGGAGTGGACCATGAAGAAGTTTTCCCTTCTGGTGGGATGATGCGGACGTTTCTGAAGTTCCACAAGTTTCTGCAGATGTATTCTGAGGACTCGTCGCAGAGCGTTTCGCTCCCGCCAAAGATTACGAAAGACAAAGTGGTCGACACTGATCTCATTCGCACATGGGCAGCTTTCAAAGCACCTCCTTTGGTCTTGCTGTTCACGTGTGCAAATCTGTCGCCAGGAGGGGATCTTTCCATTCGAGTCCGAGAAATCCTCAAGGCTTGCTTGTTTGCCGCCCCGGAGGAGTACATGGACAAACCCTATGGGGAGATCCTCGCCATGGTCATCAAGTTTGGTGGAGGTCTCAAACACATTGTTGCTGACTACGAAGGGAAGTTCAGTGCCATCACAAGATTTATGGTGGACGAGGAAGTGATCCGCGATGATGCAAAGTTGGCTGTGGTTGAACTGGAACAAGAAAGAAAAAAAGTTCGGTTCGACTTGAA